AGAGAGAGAGAGAGAGAGAGAGAGAGAGAGATGATGGAGGGAGGCTGCATGGGTGTTATGGGACCAGCTGTCATCATCCAATCATGCCGGCTTTGTGCACTGACCAGGATAAGAGGCTGTTACTCAGACGACCCTAATTGGATTAGTTAGATGCACAAATGAGAGAGCGAAAGAGAAGTGGAATTGGTGTGTGTGTGTGTGTGTGTGTGTGTGTGTGTGTGTGTGTGTGTGTGTGTGTACATGAGGTAGCAACCTCTCAGACTCAGGCTAATAACCTTGATTAGGCCAGCGCCATTACATTGTTATAATATTGTGCCTCGAGAGCCAGACTATGAGGAAACACCATCATCGTATAATCACAATAACTAATGAGATTCATAAGAAGTGGCTCCATTCCAAAATGCGGATGCAGTAAGTGACTATTGTTGTCAAGGTGAACTCACCAAAAGTAGGATGTATCATTTGGAGATGAACCAAAATTTCAGGGAAAATATTCATCATGAGTCGGCAAAACATTTGGAGCTCAAGTTTCAAACTCGTGCTGAGAGAGGTCATCAGGTGTGCTGCGGGAATTTATCTAATGTCACTGATTTGGATAAAAAATGATAAGTGACTTGGCGAAGAGAAAGAAGTTGAATAAATCTGCTGATGAAATTTGAAGTCAAAGCACATTGGAGAGTGGAAGCGATCACGGTTGTTTGGCTGGTATGCCGTTCTATTTCTCCCCATACCCGACTGAATGTTCCTCCTTGCGCGAGTGTTTACCATGAAATGGAGAGAGGTCTACATCAGCCCAATTGTAGCTGGTGGCGATGCGGCAACTTTCCTTCAGCCAGTCCAGGTTTGGGTACCAATCTGAAGTCATGCCTGGAAGAAAGGCGATGGTAAAAAAGTATATTATCCATCCATCCATTTTCTGATCTGCTTTATCCTCACAAGCGTCGCGGGGTGTGCTGGAGCCTATCCCAGTTGACTTCGGGTAGTAGGCAGGGGACACCCTGAACCGGTTGCCAGCCAATCGCAGGGCATACAGAGACGAACAACCATCCGTGCTCACACTCACACCTAGGGACAATTTGGAGTGCCCACTCAACCTGCCAGGCATGTTTTTGGAATGTGGGAGGAAAACGGAGTACCCGGAGAAAACCCACGCAGGCCCGAGGAGAACATGCAAACTCCACACAGGGAGGCCGGAGCTGGAATTGAACCCGGTACCTCTGCACTGTGAGGTCGACGCGCTAACCACTGGACCGCCAAAAGTATATAACATCTTCAAAATATTATGACAGTGGACACCCGCATATTCGCGACTCACCACTCAATATTTTAGGGAGTATTTGCATTTTTTTTTTTTACACCCTATATTCTACCCCCAGTGCCGGTCCCAAGCCCGGAGAAATGGGGAGGGTTGCGTCAGGAATGGCATCCGGCGTAAAACTTTTGCCAAGACGACCATGCGAGTTGGTAGGACGGTTTACAGGGGCGGATGGAAATTACTGACTCGCTGTGGCGACCCCTGAATAGGGACGTGCCGAAAGGAGAAGAAGAAGATTCTACCCATTGTTTTCCATAGAAAACATTGTTCATCAGCTTTTTTTCACAATTTTGGGAAGATTTAAAAAATTATCATAAATAAATCAAAAAAGCTAATCTCCTCAATATATTTTCTCCATATGCTCCAAAAACTTTATTGAAACAGTAAATTGTCAATCCATCTGAATATGAGGGTAACCAGTTGGTTGTCTCAACTCAACGTCAATTAGTTATGACACGCCCGCTTGGCCATCACTGGCTGGTTCATTTTGTGTACAGTTAGAAAAACTTATACTTATGTCTTGAAATTTTATTTAGTTTTTTTTCCTGTTTTTAATACATGCGTTTTTATGCCTTGAATTTGTAAAAAAAAAAAAAAAAAAAAAATCTGATTTTTATTTTTCACGAATGAAGGGTTCGATGAATTAACTGGTTTGGGTTTGGTACCTCTAACAAGGTTAAGAACCACTGCCCTAATGAGAACATTTTGAAGCTGGATGGACGAATTTAACAGTCCTGCTCTAACATCTGTTCCAGAGTAAACCACAAGGAGGCGCAGCTCCACACAGAAATATTCCAGTCATCGCTCTGTGCCTTTGTGCAAATTAAAGAGGTGAAGCAGCTTCCAACCAGCACAAACAAAACAATAGATGCTCAGGCCTCATAGCAAAGACGGATGGATTGCTCATTTTCATCCTCAGCTTGGAGGAGAGAATCGCAAACGGAGAATCAAATATCGCGTATGAATAATTGCCTGTCAAAGAGCTTTATTGATAACACACACATGCGCACACACATGCACAGAATGAGGCAAAGCAGAAGAGCAGGAACGATATGAGAAAGCAACGCGTTGGTGAAATCCTCAGTCAAACTGGTTGTATGAGTCGCTGTGAGATGTGACAGAGGGAGGAGTGCAATCTAAAAGCAATGAAGGCATGCAGAAAGACACAGCGATAATATGAACCACACCGTGGCGTTGGAATAAGGGTTGAATTACTGCTTGGCATTGATTGGCAACGCTATAGATTAAATATGAAACATAAAAGGTTAAGGTGCACTGGCAGGAAGCGTTGCTCTTACTAGAATCAGGAAAAAAGAGATAAAGGAGAGAAAGAAGCTCCGCAGAGCAGTTCCAGTTCATTTTTCTTTCTCTCTGAAACATGCGAAACTGTCGTCTTAATCAAAATTGAAAAGCAGCCGTGTGCAATTGCATTTTGCCCAGCCGAGTTGGGGGACAGTTGACTTCATGCATGTCTCCTCTCTAAATAGACTTGCTTGTATTGCGTCTAATGTATGCTTTTGTAGCAGTTTGTTTTTTTTCTCACGAGCATTACACACTCATACAGAACCCAAATGCACAAACAGAACCCACTGCATGAGGACCAGAATGAGGAGATGAATTATATTCAAGGAGGCAGCATGAAAAAAAAAAAAATCACTGGTGAAGAAAAGCGGCGAGCGCGTATCATACCACAACATCCACAGCTAAGGCGGCACAGTAGCCGCACTACGCTAATAATATCACGTTTGCTTATTTTTGTGTTTTGCGGTCGGTGACAGACGGACAGATCAACCTGTCTCACCTGTCGTGGGGCAGCTCTGTCCACTGTGAGTCTGATGGGAGAGAGATGGGTGCTGGCCATGGGTGGACAGGTGATGCTGAGGGTGGTGGGCGTGGTGATGGTTGTGTTGATGATGGTGGCTGCCACCCGCTGTGCCGCCGCCATTCCCTGTGCCCGGTGAGTGCTGATAAGAGCAGGCTGTCCGAGTCGGATGGTTCGAGTCCCCGGGCATAACCATCAAAGCTGTCAGAGAACACGACACAACATCAACCGGGATGACATCACCAGCATCTTGAAATGTATTGTTCCAATTCATGATCAATCACAAATGAACGCCAAAATAGAGTTTCTATTGAGATATTCAATCGAGGGCAGCATGGCACTGATGTCTCAAGACATCCGCATCGCTAGTTGGACGAAAATAAATAGAATCGAATCAGGGGTGGAAATAACTGTCAAAAATATGTTGAAGGCGCACAATGGGGTAAGTGCAATGACTGCGTATGTTTTTCAACAGCACAATACTAGATCGACCAATTGTTCAAAATGCTACGGTGGGAAACAGAGAAAACAACTTTGCATTGTTTGCATCACTTGGAAGCAGACAATAATGGATGAAAATGAGGGTCTCCGCTATTCTTCGCATAGTAAGGAGATGAAATTGTGTCCAATTTGGTTTAGATCCAAATTAGGTGGGGCCACGTGCACCACTCTGGGCCATTAAAAGATTATTTGTTCGACTTTTCTTTTTCCCTTAATTACTCAATGAATACTGAACAACGATGAACACAAATACAAGCCACAGTCACAAATGATAAAAGAATGATCACATTTAATCTGCTACTGTTCATAACCTCTGCCCATGTAGCATACATTTAAAAACACAGTCCAACAATTCACGAGATTTAACATGCAATGAACAGGGTGGGGAAGGGAGGGGAGGAGGGGGCGGGGGGGAAGCATCACAATCTGTGAAACGAGCTGCACACAGTAGGTGCGCTCAAGTCTCTCGAGCTGTGGCACGGGGGGAGGGGGCAGAGTGAATAGGAATCCAGCGAGGACGTTGACATTGCACCTGCAGCGCAAGGCCAAGACCTCATCAGTCACAGGCTCGGGGTGGAGTTATAGAGAGGAGGAGATTTTTTCCATCCAGGGATAAGTCCAGATAACAATTGTTTTGGGAACAGGCCGTCTACAATCTCAGACAGCCTTGAATGTCTTTTAGCATGCGACTCTCCATGGCATCAATCTGCCGAATTCATGATCAATCAGTCAATCAATTTTCCAGGACGGTACAACTTCTCCGGGGCTTTTCCGTTTTGCGAAGTGACTTCAACTTTGCGGTTGAGTTCAGTTAGCAAATGAGTCTGAGTGTTGATCACCCGCACCACATTCTCCATGTTGGCATTCAGCTTATTTCCTTCCAATGAAGCTGCCCCCACCGGCTGAATTTTGCGATAGATCAGGAAACGGCTAACACCAAGCAGCAGGATACCTCTTATCATAATCCCGATAATGTAGATGCCTCCCACAACCACTATGGACAATATTGTCAAGCACACTATTTCCCACTTCTGCGGGTGTCCAACTGAAGGCCCGGGGGCAGATCTGGCCCACCACATCATTTTATGTGGCCCGCCAAAGCAAATCAAATGTCAACTTCTACGATGATTGCTAATATCTGCAGCAAAATGTCAACTTCGAAATAACTAATCAATGAGTGAGAAATTGTCAGCATTTTCTTGTTACACTAACTTAAACAATCGTTGAATGAAGCATCATTCGTGACCTCTTTATATGTTTTCACAATCATAACGGCCCTCCATGGGAAACGGTCACTACAATGGGGCCCGTGACAAAAATGAGTTTGATACTCCTGATCTAAGGTGTACCCCGCAGCAAATGTCTCAGCGGGGCAAGAAAGCTCCCCACCGCCTGCCCTTTTCGTCCAAATGTTTTTTTTATACATAGTGCTGAGAGTCCAGCTGTGTAAACGTGACTCACTTGGCACATGTGCTGCACATAACCTTGTCGACCTGTTGTCGACTGACATTCTCACCCATTGCAGCGAGCTGACGGCAGTTGTGTTGGAACTGCACGGCTCAGACCTCGTCAAAGATCACTGAAGTGAAACAAGAGGACAGCGGCTCTTTTCTTTGTGACCGCCAGTTCATGAGGAGTGTGACGACTCCTCAAGTGGGAACGTTCCCGGCTGTCAGCAGAGAGTCATTTTGCTTTTACCTGCCTATAAAGGTGTTTTTGTTTTATCCACTCTTTTATCCCCTTTGCTCTCTGCCAACTCGCTTGTCGCTTCAATGTCCTTTGATCCATTCTTTTTTTTTTTTTTTTTAACTACCAAACCCTTCGTGATGTGTATTCTGACTGCACGGTTTTGTGTCTTCATCTTCGGGCTTTCAAGATCAAATAAATGCCTTTTTTAATTGAACAGTGGATTTGATAGATACAATTAATGTCTTCAACGATACATTGGAGTTATAGTCTGCCGTCGACACCGCTGTCTGCAAACCCTTTTGTCCACATTTTGCTTAGAATCATATTTGAAATTCCAAAATGAACAAAAAATGTTATCACCCGAAATATTGATGAATTTCCAACATTTTGTTGAATGAAATTCAAATGAAGAACTTGCCCACTGGGCACTCTAACTAGGCTTTCAAACACATTGGAATGTATGAGACAATGATACCAATATAACTACACCTTTATCCGTGCAAAAACTACAGTACCAATGCCCATAAAAATGCAGATCAAAATGCACACGAGCTTTCAAACACGCAAAAATGTATTTCTGAATTTTAAGATAGCAAGGCCCGGCAAGCTGCCACGCAGCCGCCAAGCCATGTACAGTAAAAACAGTATATTTTCTTTTAAAACAGTACTTAACTATATTTATAATTTTATATGTATCTGTGAATGAAATAGTGATACTTGAAGTCCAAAAATGCACACTGAGCGCTGCATGTAGCAGAGAGAGAGAGAGAGAGAGAGAGAGAGAGAGAGATTTTTTAATGAAAAGTTATTAACAAAGTGAAAAAAGTTTTCATGCAATAAACACATTAGTGTCGTACTTTCATGCATTTAAAAGCTAAAAACTAGTCCCAAACACCAGAGGTAGGTTACCAGACCCACTGGGAGCACTTTACCAAGTCTCAAATTCACAAATGTAATGCAAGTTCACACTTTGGTAGCCTCTGAATCAACAATCTCGATCATATCTATCATTTGAGGTGCTCTATCAAAATCATCATGGTATTTTTTCCTTCATACGCATTTCAGACCCCAAATGGATGGAAACCATCGCAAATCCAGCGAGGCGCATTACTGTCCTCGGAACAAGACCATTCATGCCTCTGGAGGAAATGTAGAGAGCGAGAGTGGAGGTTGATCAGAGGGTGGTGGGATGCAAGGAAGGCCCAAGTGGGAGGAGGCCGTGTGACCTGAAAGCTTCAGGAAGCAATTAGCGAGCTGCTTCACAAACTTTAGAAGCAATCTAATTAGCTTCTATCAAAGCTGCAGATGTGTTTGTCTTTTTCTTGCCTTCCGATGAATTCTTCGCTCTTAATTGCCTCGGCTCGTTTGACTGAGCGGGCCGTAAAATGCAGATATGCGGAACAGCAGATTGTTTGTTTATTAAAATACAATAGAGGCGGAGATAGCGTGTGCTGGGAGGTTAATGCAGCAACGCTTCCCGTGCTGTGAAAGCAATATTAAAGTTGCACATCAATTGCGAGAGCTTAAGCTTGACAGTTAATTATGGGCAGGAAGCCTAACATGCAGCGATTTTGGCCCCTGTGAACCAGCCTAAGAGCAGACGTCCGACAGGCAAACACGAGCGGATAAAGTGGAGTCCAAAACAAGACCAACGCCGACACCCACCTTGCTGCGAGAACGACTGCTCAAAGACACACTTGTACAGGCTTCGGAAGGACGCGCTCAGGTCCTCGAAGTCCGAGAAGCAGATGTGCTTGTCTCGTGACTCTGGCACGGGCAGAGCGTACTGGGGTTGCGCAGGAGGAGGGGGAGGCCGCGTGGGCTGGGTGGGCTGCTGAAGACTCAGGGACTGGGACGAAGGCTCGGAGTGACTGCTAACCTGTGGGGGGCAGAGGAACAGACGACGTACAACTGTTACTTAATAACTTAAGAAATTACTTAAGAAGAAATTACTTAAGAAAATTATGCAGTAAACCACCACTAATGGGGGAATCGGGCTCGTGATTGTGGACATGCTAGCACCTAGCTCGGTGCATGGTGCTGATATTTGCTGAGTATTGTTTGTGTATCTAATCTGAGCCTCTGTTTTAAATGCTTTGCCACCATCTTGTGGTGAAGTGTCAATTATTCATGAGTTTTCGCTATTTGTGGCAGGGATTGGCCCCTATCCCCTGCAAAGAGCTGAATTTCACTGGTTACAAAAAAAAAAATGGGCATTTCTTCTGAATGTTGACTGTCTTCCCTTACTCCCCTCATCCAAGCTGTCATCTTCCGCAAAATCCACCCTTCTACAAAAGCACTCTGCTTTTATCCCTTTTCAATTTGAAACCCACTTAGTATGACGCATCCGCCTCGCATTCCGCCTCCAGCCAATAATGGCGAACTTTCCATCAAGTACATCGTTGTCTGCAAGCTTTCTGCCATCAGTAATCACAGTCAGTCAGGAGGGGGGATCACCTACAACAGGTAATGAGGCCCAACTAACCCCCGAGCCCGTCCAGCCGGACCACAGATGAGGTGTGAAATGACGGCGTTGGAAGGAAACAGGGTGGAGGGGTCGTGGAAAACAAAAGACGGCCTCTTGAAATGAGAGGTTAATAAGATAGATGAGATGGCGCTGACCTTTGCTCGTGCAGGCGGGAGCTGAGCGGGGGGTAGATGCTAAATAGGTTTGTGACTATCAGAAGGCAAACGCAATGAACAGATTTTCTCCTTTAGAGCTGCACCTACTTTGAAATAAAAATGTTTTTGGACTTCAGGTTGATATTTTATTTACCAAGTACTTTGAAGGGGCAGACACCACAAATACTGCACAGTATACTGTAACACCCAGCCAGTAGACTGGCTGACCAAGCATCCAAATTTGTATGCTTGAACCAAATCAGCAGAAAATATGTCGAAATGCTATTTTGCAGCAAGGAATGTCAAAGAATTCTTGACAAAAGAATAATTTCTTACCGGTGTGTAGCTGTGCAAGCTTCCGCCACTGCTCACAGTAGAGTTCAAGTTGTTCAGATTGACAGATGTCAAGCTCTGCTCAGAGAGACTGTTGCTCAGGCTGCCGGGACTTTCACAGTCGTCTGCTTCCGGGCTGTACAGTGCTACCTGCAAGCACGTGTACACATATACTGTACAGGTCTTTTAAGCGCAAAACATCTTCTTTTTGTTCTACTCCAATTCTAAAGTCTTTACACTGGTTCCCAGTCATCTATGGAACAGGCTTTAAAATTCTACTACCGGTCTACAAATTAGCGTATGGTTTAAGTTATTGGAAAATATGGTTAAATGTCTGATGTCTGCTGATTCGGGTCAATTCATGGAACCCAGTCTTGAAAGCAAACATGGTGAAGCAGCATTTAGCCGTTTTGCTCCACACAAATGGAATTCGCTGCTGAAAGAAATGAAGTCAGCCCCACACGTTAATGTATTTCCATCCTGATTATAAACTATGTATTTTTTTCCACATATTTATGTTTGAACTCTTTTGAAGCATTTGTTTTTTCATAGTTAGAACAAATCTTGCACACTATCTTTTATTTATGTATTTTGTATTTAAATATCTTGAGGTTCTTGGTTTTGAAATCGTTTTAAATGTTGTAAATTGAATATATGAGGCTATATACTGTCATAAAGCTGCCTTGACTAGCACAGATTGGGTCTAAGCAGTTACCTCTCCAGTGACCACTTCCGTTTTATCTGGTGGCGACCGAGCGGAAAGCTCTTAAAAGCCATGGCTGAGCATTGTGTTGAATCCCAAATCTTGTTTGGTTGCATTGTCAGAGTTGTGAAACAGAGCGTCAGTGGTGCCTCGGGCTACATTTAATTGTTCAGACAAATGAGAGACAAAGCCTCTGAGTGAGACAACGAGTACATCAAAGTCTGTTGCAGTGCGCCACTCAGTCAAGTATTTTGATGTATGGGTTTGTCGCAGCAAAAAAAATGTACAGTCAAGTGATTTATGAGGGCAATTTGAGGTTTGCATATAAACAAAATGCCATCCATCCATTCACTATCTATTTTGCTTATGCTTTTCAAGGTTACAGGAGGGGCTGGAGCCTATGCAGCTGACTTATGGCGAGAGTCCGGTTCCACCCAGGACAGTGCTGAGGTCTACCGTGAATGCGGCGGTGAGTGATACTGGTATTTATTTGCTGCAACAGTGTTAAGAAATTGTCTTTTGACGTGCTTAAATGCAAATGCCAATTGATGAATGTGTGACCCGTTTGTGGCCTCCTCTTTGTCAGGATGTGGGAGGGGACCAGTGACGTGGGCATTATCCTTCCAATCTGCGACGGCAAAGTACATTAGCGTCTATGACTTGGCACTGTTGAATGAATTGGTCTGTGAATTGGCACCTGCGTGACACGCTGAACTGTGCGAGGGAAACAATAATCTCTTGATGCTTACATCCTGGTCTGGTTCTCACCGTGTGGCTATTGTTGTCAGGTTTCATCATCGACTTGGCCAGGTATCAAATAAACTTGAGAAAGCTCATTCCGTAAGGCCATTCGATCCAATGATGTGTAACCATTTGGCTTCTGCATCAACTCAACTCAAATGAATAATGACAATTGGACGTGTGAAGGAATTGTTGCCGAAGGAGTGACAAGGTTCGGTTTTCCAAAGCAGTCAGCCAGTTGCAAGTCTTGTTACTTGTACTTGATGCATTCCGTCAACTAAGAGGTGTGCACATGCAACACATACGACTATTTACAGTAAATGTGACTTTACGACTGCATTAGCATCGGTTAGGTGACTACAGAGCTTTGGAAATGATAAATTCTGGTAACATGGCCTTCGTTGGATCAAAAGGCTTAAACCAAAAAATATATTCAACTGTATAGGGCCTCTACAGTTGAAAATATTTTTCGCCAATCCTATAGGCGATAAAAAATTTTAGGGGGCGGGGCATCACATCCGGGGGCGGAGTGGCCATCGGGAATTTGAACAGCCGGTGTTGTCCACCAGACCAACGAGCAGATATATCACTGAAAATCAACTATTCATTCTTCATTCAAACTGCAATTTAACCATTTTTACACCAGGTAGAGCACCAACACTCATTTACATATGAGAACCAATGACAAAAGATTTCCCGTCTGAAACATTGAAGCTGTTTACGTCCATGACTTTCAAGCTATCCCATTTTAACTCACAAACAAGTTTTGTATCATAAAATACTTGACAAAACTATGGTTTTACATCTACGGGTCGAGAAATTATGTGTTTCCTGAGTGAAAGAGGCTGGAAAGTGTGAGTCGAGACCTCTGCGAGTGAAGATGGAAATGTCAAGACCCTCCCACAGGGTCCAAACACACGATGTGTGGTGAAAGATTCTGCTGCTGCTACGGCACAAATTGTCTTTGATCGAGGTTAGGGGTCAGGTACCACACACACCGTCACTGCATGTGTGTGTTTCTGTGTGTGTGGGTGCATGTGCGGATTCTTGAGTGTCCTCTGACCCTGACACACACACACACACAGGCACATACACACAAACATACGGCTTGACCCCGGTCAGTTTCTTTGACACTGTGTGCTTCGTTGCATTTCGTGGAGGGTAAAAGTGGAAAAAAAATTGCGATGTCACAGGTTCACGTGGGCACACGAAGAATAAGCATCATTTTGAGGGTCAAGAGTACAGCGTGTGTCAGCCAGTCCCGTTATCTTCAAAGACTTCTGTTTCCATCCAATGTTATTTTGTCATTGAAAATGTCCGACTCATCCTCGGCCCTGTCGTCTGTAAAGATGACGTGAGCAGAAGGTTAAGATCGACAGTCGAAACTTTGTTTGATGACTTGAATCGATCCGTACGAAGTGAAGGAGGAGGACTTCTCAACTGACTGTGAAATCTTGACTGTGAATTATTTAGTGAACGCTCAACGTGCATACACATTACAAGACTTACAAATTACAAGTATTTTGTGTGTGGGTGGGTGGGCCAAAGATGTCCAACATCTCTGGATCGAATTCTCATCATCGTGACGGCAAGTCTGACATGATATGCCAAAACAAACGCTAGCTAGGCTGAAAGACGGCTAAGCGCAATGTGCACTGCATTCATTGCTTGACTTGTGAGTTTTAGAAGTAATTTATTTATGCTGAGACTTTTTAGTGAATGCACAATATAATTCTTCTTTTTTTAATGGATAATTTATGGCAAATGTATTGGCTATAGTAACAGTAAGCTTCGTTTCACATCCCTGTTCACCTTATTATTGTACCCGTGAACAGCACGTGTTCACCATTGTCAAGTCACTTGCTGCAAACACGCAATTTCCACAGATTTTGCATTTGCTCAATGAGACACAAGGGTTCGTTTGCGCCACAATATGGCCGTCAGGAAGATTGGCGAGGTTCTGTGACGTCACGTCACGTGAATGAAATGGATCGTTACTCAAAGTTCACCCGTTTACAAAAGGAAGGGAAATGTTGATCACATATGTAAAATAACTCAGAAGACAAAAACAGTAGGTATACATCCATCATCCCCTCCTACCTTGTTTGTCACCGTATTGATGGCCAGAGTGGGAGACGCTCCACCTGACATGATGCAGTCCATTCGCAGAGACTCCGACTCCAAGCTGTAAGGGGTTGACGCCTGCAATGAGAGAAGGAAGAAATGTTTTTTTTTTCAAAACATGAACACTAAATGCTCATTAGAATTGCAATGTATTGCTTTGTACAAGTTCACTGTCCGACACATTGAAAGGAAAGACAAATCATTTCGTGCTTTGCGGGGACAGTGGGAGAGAGAGAGGGAGAGGGCTAGCATATACTGTCCTACCTGACTTCATATTTTTAATTTGTAAATAGCCGTTTGCCTCATAAATTACGCTACAACCTTCATCAAGTTTGATCGCAGAAAGCTAATGACTGCCATTTTTGACAGCACTCTATCATACCATTAGCATATCAATAATATTACCAGGTCAGCTTACTTTCGCCTCCGCACTGAAGTGCACACGTACTAAAGCGTGGAACTGCCAATGTGGAGTAAACGTTTATGAGTGGCAAAATACCCAGTGGCATCCTGGGGAAAATTTTTTTCAGCATTTAGCCAACATACTTTCAAACCTACTTTGCACATACTTTTGAATGTGTTTGCAAATAAGTTCAAACGTGTACAGGAACAAGAATTGTATTGAAACAGAATGGCTACTTGTGACCTTTTTAATATTTTTAGACTTAAATTAACATGAATGAAATACAATCAATAAATTACTAGGGCTGGGAGCTAGAAAGACCTCTGATGGGGCTATCACACCCCTTAACCCCATCTTAGCGCCGCGCATGGCTAGCTGCCAATTTGAGACGGTAACATAGCATACAGTACACATCTTCACTCAGTGCTCCTTCCTGTCAAACAGTACAAAGTCAAACGCCTGACACCAGTCACAAAAGATCAATATAAAAGTCAAAAGTCCTTTGTTCAGAAAACGTTTGAGTTAAAGTTGTATAAAACCAATTGTAATGGGGAAGAAGCAGGTGGTTTAGCCCTACCAAAAACCCAAATCAGCAGAACACATTGTTTAACGTAACCAACAATGCTCAGACATCTGTGACTACAGGTTATCTTACCTTTCGTGACGAAGAAACTCTCGCGAAGTGTACTTTGACACTACCTGAGTTTCAAATGTGTGTCTGCGTTATGCTAACTTCAAGTGGATATTCCTCTTCTCTAATGAACTATGTTTTCTCATAACCATCGCATTCATTTCGAATAAGCGCCACCAAAAAAATAAAGATATAAAAGTTAAAACACAGGCAGAGTTAATTCCTGCCAGGAATTAGATTTTGAAAGTTACACTGGCAAACGTGTGTTATGGGGACCAGGTGTGTATTTAATCATTTGGCGGGGCCCAAGGCAAACTCAGTCATGGGGCCTTCCACAGCCAGGTACAGGAAACTTTTTTTAATGAGTAATGTTTATCATTAACTAAAAAGTGTGAATTTATGAAAATGACATCCTTTTTAGGATTATTCACTCTGTCACAACGTCTGGTAAATCCACCCCAATGCGCACATCATGAAGATGCTTCTAACTTCCGGGGTTATTTTTGACCGAATTTTGGTCCAACTTTTGGGTGTTGGAACTCGAACGTTTGATATTGCCGACGTTGGGGTAGTGTTCTTTTGCATGGGTTCAGACCTTGAGTTGACTGTTTCTTTGGTTTACTCATACATAAAAGCATAGGTCTAATATGATTTCTGTTAATTAGAAACATGCAGAGGAGGGTGTGAGTAAAAATGAGGGAGGAAATGAAATGTGACATTGCTTATGAGAAATGTCTGAATGTTGCAAATTTATGATTACGTCGGGAGCCTCCTGAATCACCAGAGGGCCCGCGGCTGGCTGCAACTGTGCGAACTATTTGAGGCGCGCTTCATTTAAATTGCCGGACACTTAAGCGACCCACAAAGTGGACACATCACACGCACGAAGATGCATCAAAGCATCCTCATGCATAATTCAAGCGTGGTGAATGTATTCAAGGGAGTTCATCGCTCTGTGTCCTCAGAGAGCCGCGGAAGGGTTAACGGGATTTGAGGCCACACCGAACAAGCCAAAGATCAATGAGGGGCAAATTTGACACCCGGAAAAAAATATATAAAAAAAGGTGGATTATATTTTCTCGAGCCTGACTCCTTTTCGGGTTCAAGGCTGCTTTCTGTGCCGCCTTCCCAAACTGCTTACAGTAAGAGGATTGGTTGGTAACAATGCAATCTTTAATTTATGATAAACTCCCAAAGAAACAGGATGCTGTCTCCCTGGTGGAGCCAGTTACAAAGCAGACGGCGGCGGGATGCGGAGGGGAGTGGAAGAAGGGAAGAGAGATAATTGAGCGGTGGCAGACAGGCTCGGAGTGAAGCAAATAAAGAGAGTGATTAATCTGAGAGATGCAGGTAGGCTGCCTGTCTACACATTGAGACAATGCATGCATGCAGCCGCGGTTTAGCCCTGCATCCTGATGACTTAAAGCCAAGAAACACCCAGACATATTTAGCAGACCTTTTTTTTTTCCTCCTTTCCTGATGATAATGCTTCGTACTTAAAACCTGCCTCCTGCCTCGCCTCAGCCCATGTGACAGCCCGCGGTGTGTCTGCCAGCGGTGTAAGCGAGGCGTAAGAAAAGGGGTCGAAGGGCCCATCCATATAAGACGAGATGACAAGCCTCAGAATTAATTAATGTTTGTAATTTAAAAGAAAAAAAAAATCCCCGGTGAAGAAAATATGTCTAACGGCAGCCTGAGGCCTTGTGTGGTAATTAACTGGAACATAAGACTGGAATACTCTCCCTCAGCTCCCTCATCTCCTTGTTATCTGGTTCCCCTTGCAGCGTGACTTTTTCCTCTCCGTCTCATCGTCTAATTCCTCTCTGGATGCTCTCCTTTCGCCCCTTCCCGTTATTTCTCATGCCTCCTCTGTCTTTTCCCTTCAAAAGTCTGATTGCGCTTTTTGTCACCGCGAGCCCGCCTGAAGCCTGCACGCCTCCCGCCGGAGATGCGCGCAGGCAGGTATGCAGGCCGACACACAGGCAGGCAGACAGAGCTGGAGATAATGATCAAGATTCAGTCGCAAAGAGAGAGAGAGAGAGAAAGAGAGAGAGAGACAAACGATGAAATGAATACACAAGGCTAGCTATGATTAAGGAGTCGAATGGTTTTCTTTAATGAAATGGTTGCAGTGTTTGTGTGCGTGCGTATCTGCGTGTGTGCTCACATGTGCTTGTGAACAAATGGATCCCCCTTCAAAGCAGGTGACTCCAAGCAAATAAAGGACATTTTTCAAGTCCCATTATAGTCATGCGTAAAATCATGCTAAAATCGGGTACGCGAGTGCATGCTATAGGTAGGCAGGCATTTATTTATAGTACAAAACTAAAACCACTGAGAGGTAGTGAACGTTAGCCTGCCATGTAAGGTACACTTAGCCCTGTTTCAAGGTGACCAGATGTCTTTTTTTTTTTTAACCAGGTCATCCAATTTTTACATTTAACAAAAAGTATCCAGGGCGGCCAGGTGTCGAATGGTTAGCGCGTCAACCTCACAGTGCAGCGGTCGTGGGTTCGATCCCGGCTCCGGCCTTCCTATGTGGAGTTTGCATGTTCTCCCCGTGCCTGCGTGGGTTTTTTTTCCGGGTACTCCGGTTTCCTCCCACATTCCAAAAGCATTCATGGCAGGCTGATTGAACACTCGAAATTGTCCCTAGGTGTGAGTGTGAGCGCTGATGGTTGTTCGTCTCTGTGTGCCCTGTGATTGGCTGGCAACCGATTAAGGGTGTCCCCGGCCTACTTCCCGAAGACAGCTGGGATAAGCTAGAGCACCCCCCCGCGTCCCTAGTGAGGATAAAGAGGTTCGGAAAATGGACAGATGGATGGAAAAAGCATCCAGGCAGCAATTATTTTCCTTAGAATGTTTTCTTCGGTCACTAACTTGTTTCACCTTCCTTTCCATGTCCCTCTAACGTCACTGGACAAAAATTTCAGTCATTATGAACGGCACCGCTAATTGCTTATGATATCGCTCTGTCCTTGCCATCCAATTAAAAGGCTACAGCCAGCTTGTCCTGGGTAAGGTGAGTTTAATGGGGCAAGACACCCTCAAATAGCCTCCATTACATGTATGTCAATGTTAATGATGAATTTTCCATTTTGCAGTTTGGAAGAAATTAGACTGTATTACTTGCCGTATCCGAGCATGTAACATGTTCAACTGTTTTTTTCTTGTCGAATTTAGATTAGAATTTCTTTTAATCCCTCTTTAGCGCAGATCTTCTTTATAGTTGAGAAAATGCGAGTCCCTCGTGTGGCAACATTTGAGCACCAATTGTCTAAACCAGTTTCCCAATCAGGGGTACGCGCACACCTTGGGGTACATGAGCATATTGCAGAGGGTACATGAAAACATTTATTTCCCAGCTGAATAACATGTGGCACGCCCATTAAAACTGCTATCGTGCATCTAAATATTATTCTTGTTCAGTATTTTGTTTGTGATATTTCAAGTTTAGATGCCTGTTTGCCTGTTATTATTATTTGATTGTCATTTTTTTTTCAAGGTTTCATATTTATTTTTGTTCCATTTGAGGCAAAAAAAAAAGACCAGAAAAATGCCATCATAAAATGAAATGTTCAAACTAAGGAAGCCAACTATAATGATTTTTATTCATTTGCATTAAATTCTACTGTTGGAGCATCATCAACACGAACAATATGAGTCGGGGTACAACCAAAAGGTTTGTGGTACACAAGCCAAAAAAGGTTAGGAACCACTGATCCAAACTATGCAAGTGTTTAAGGAAGCACGTTGACGAGGGTGATCGAATTAAAACTCGGCGTTGACGATTTCAAGTGGTGCCATATCGCTGAAAACACAATAACGACTCACAGTACTTTCTTCAGGCCGAGTTTAATTTCCGGCTCGCACTTCCACCATCGACGCCTTGCGCAGAGTCGAGTGTGTGAAGCTTTGTATCCATTTACTACCAGTGCAGCCGTTCGTGCCTGGAGTCGGCACGTGTTGAAAAGTCTCCGTTCATCCACTGCGTCTTCCAGCCCGCAACAACTCATTTATTTCAACCAACCCCAGACACCAATTAATGCAGTCACTCTGTAGCTGTACACATATCGGCCAATGTGATGCCCACCCAAAAATGTCTCATTATTGTGGGATATGGGCAATGTAGGCTGCAAAAAAGTGCGAAAAGAAGGCTGCGCTAGTGCCTTCAAAGGACATCACTGGTCCTTAAAAGCAACTGCCGAAGTTGCATTGGGACATGGCAAGTGCTTGCACAGGGTCACTCATTACCTTCACAACCTGATTTGGCTGGAAATGTATTTTAACCCTTGCATGCACCCTGTCACCTGATGTCATGATAAGCTGTCCACTGTGGTAACCGCTGTCCCTGAAAGGGTTAAAGTAGTAGTTTGGCATTGTACAGTGAAACTCCTCTACAACGAAACCTACATGGGCGAAATACCCCCTAGTGTGAAAAAATTCTTCATGCATTAAAACCATTCCCACTTTTCTGCTCCCCCTACAACGAAAAATCCCTCTGTTGCGTTATACGAAATCTTTTTCTCTGCCCTTGCCTCGCGGCGAGATCCACTACAACGAAAACAAGCCTTCCGCAAAAGTCTCATCCAACCTCAGCCTACAGCGACTCCTACTGCTTAACTCCGAAACGGCAACGGCAAACACCACAGTTGCTTACACATGCGCAGTAGTACAGGAAGTATTTGTTATTGTTACTTTCAGACGCAGCACGAACGTTGCATTGCTAAAATGGCTACCAAATGGACCTTTGCAGACCAAGGAGTGAAGAAAAGAAAAGCTTTAACGCTTGAAGACAGAATAAAAGTAATAAAAATGAAAGATGGAGGAAGCAAAGTAAAAGACATTATCCAAGAAATTGATGGAAGTGAAAGTGAATGCTGATCGTAAATTTCGCAATTTCTTTCCCTTTTTTTTCTTTCTACGCTGGCTATATGAAGAGTATGGTCCTACTTATGCACTATTGGAATAAAAACAAAGAGTACACATATGTGTTTGTGTGTGTGTGTGTGTGTTTACATCTGAGATAAATTTGCTATAGTGAAAAGTCCCCTGTTGTGAAAAACTTCTTGCTGCAAACATGATTTTGTTGTAGAGGAGTTTCACTGTAGTGTAGATATATTATCAGTGTCAGCACGAACCATCTTCACTCTTTTAATTGAGGAAAAAAAATCATTTTCAACAGTGTCTGCCAAAGCCGTTGATACACTAAAGAATCAAAACATCCATATATTACCAACGCAAGGCATTCCAACTGAAGGCAAAAAACAGTATCAGCAGACGTATAGAAGTCAAGTTTGAACTTTCTCATTGTTGTAGGATGAACCCATATTTTCCAATGATCCCAAAGTCAAGAGCTCTGACAGGATGTGAAATGTATTTGAAACCAGCAACGAGATCGACTGACTGTGCGTATTCACACGAACAAGTGAAAGCGGAATTGAACTAAAAACCCACGGAGGGCGACATCAAACAGATATAAAACGCTTGTGTCTACAGCAATAACATGACAAGTCCTCGTAGCACTAAAGCAGGGGTGCCAAATTCATTTTTGTCGCGGGCCACATTTTAGTTACTGTTTCCCTTGGAGGGTCGTTATGATTGAAACCATATAAAGAAGTCAAGAATAACTCTTGTTTAAGTTACTATCACGAGGGGTTTCGTAACAAGAAAATGCTTAGAATATCTCTCTTATTTATTACATATGAGCATGAAAATTTTTGGTCGACATTTTAGAAAGCATCATGGAAGTTGACATGTTTGATCTGCTTTCGTGGGGCCACATAGAATGATGTGGCGGGCCAGATCTGGCCCCCGGGCCTTGAGTTCGACACCTGTGCACTAAGGCTACAACAATGGACTTTTTCAGAAGGGGAACGTTGCTCTGTTGATTTCGACACTTCATATTCATCTCATCGATCAGAGAGCTGTGAAAAAAAAAATAGCAATTTTACACGGAGTTGACCGCACCGAGACAAATCGAATCTTTTGACACGCCGAGGAGCGTGCTAATTATCTTTAAAAGGTACAATAATCAGAGTATACCCAGACAGCGAGGCGGCGGCTGGAATGGGGAGCTCACTCTGCTTTCTTTGTATTCACAGTCGCAGGTTCACGACTCAACCAGCCGCAGTCTGCTGAGTTGATGCAGGGTTACATATATTTATAGCTGCGGCTGCTGTCAATCATTCCCCCTACCTCGTCCCCCCCCCCCTTCCCAAAATCCATTTTGTTCCCCTTTGCATCTACTCAGACGCTTGTACCTGCTGCTTTTCGCGGGATCTCGAGCACAGAACGAGTCTACCAGCCTGCAATTAGCAGACACTTACATCTGGGTCAGCCCTGCTCGATCTGCAAGAAGACAGCATGCAGCAAAACTAAGGTGGGCATAAGAGATGGCGCACTTGCCGGATGACGTGCAACACGACGTTCTGTGTTTGATATTTGGGTGGTAGTTGGCATAGGTGTGCAACCGCACTGTCATTCTGAGACTTGTGTCTCATGATTTGATTTTCTTGCCTTGCTAGGTGAGAGTCAAAATATTTCGAAACAGCTGCCTGTATGATGCAGTGAAGTTTCACACCGGTTGCACTGGCTCCTTTGAAATGAGTGGCTG